CACTGAATAAGTGGGTCTAAAAAATGATAAGATAATAGATCCAAATCAAAATATGTATTAGTTGTTATATTAAATGTAAATATAAAATAATACTCCAATTAAATGACAAATTGTGTCAGAGTGGAAGAAACAAAACTATATGCTACTTACAAGAAACACATTTTAAATATATAAGAACAAAGAAAAGTTGAAATGAAAGGATGGAAAAGATACACCATGCAAACACTAAAAGAAAGCTGATGTGCCTATACTAATATCAAAGTAGAACTTAAGAAGGAAGCATTACTAAAGATAAAGAGGGGTATTTCATAAAGATAAAAGTACCAATATGCTAAGAAAATATAACAATTTTAAATATACATGCATCTAATAACCTAGCCTCAAAGTATATAAAACAAAAACTAATAGAACTGGAAGAAGAAATAGATCTGCAAGTATATCTCTCTTGGTAACTGATAGAATAGACAGTCATAAAAATCAATAAGTATGTAGAAGATTTGAACAACATAGTTAATAACCAAATTCATATACAGAGAGAAAACTGCATCAAGTAACTGAAGAATGCCAATTATTTTCAAGTAAACATGGAATATTGAATTGAATATATGCAGGGCCAAAAAGAAAATCTTAAGAAATTAAAATGATTGAAATGATACAAAGTATACAAACCATGCACTTTGGCAGATACAGACCGTAGTGGAATTGAACTAGAAATCAGTAACAAAAAGATAATCAGAAAATCCTCACATGTTTACAGATTAAGCAATTTACCTATAAATAGCCAGTGGGTCAAAGAAGAAATTACAATGAATATCAGAAAATGGTTTAACTGAATGGTAATTAAAATGTGGCATAGCAAAACGTGAGATGCAAGTGTATTTATAGGGAAATTGATAGTCTTAGGTACATATATTGGGAAAGAAAAATGGTTAAAAAACAGTTACTGGGACTTCTGGAATAGCTAAGTAAGGGGGCAGGACAGGTTTGGAACTGCAAAAATCCTTATCTCCAAAGAATCATTACTATTTGACTTGTCTGGCAGTTCACTGAAAAGCTCCATCTACAAGACTAGTCGTTTTTGTTTTTTTTTTTTCTGTGAAGAGATCAGCCCTGTGCTAACATCTGCCAATCCTCCTCTTTTAGCTGAGGAAGACTGGCCCTGGGCTAACATCCGTGCCCATCTTCCTCCACTTTATATGGGACACTGCCACAGCATGGCTTGACAAGCGGTGCGTCAGTGCACGCCCAGGATCCGAACCAGCAAACCCTGGGCCGCTGCAGTGGAGCGCGTGCACTTAACCGCTTGCACCACCAGGCCAGCCCCATCACAAGACTAGTCTTTACTTGACCTAAGTCAATGCTTACTTTGTGCCAATAGCCCTATCCTCAGGGCATTTGTTAAAAAAAATAGTGGTAATTGTTTAATATCACAGCTTCCTGAGACAGTGTTACCAGTTGGAGCTCATAAGAGGCTGACCAATAACTTAAAAGGAAAAACTAGAAAATAAGATGGAGGCTTTGAAAACTTCTAACGTATTTCTGGGAATCTAGAAGGTCACATGCATGTGACTGTGCACACGCCCAAGAAAGACCTTAAAGGCCATAATCTTTCACCTCAGGCTGACCTTGAGGCCTTGCATAGGCAGGAAGCTAAGGCAGAATTATAAACTTCCTGCATGAGCATTGAAGGCATGCCCAACACACACACACACAGACACATACACACACACACATACACAGCCCCTCAGCAAAGGAAGCGAGGCTTATAAGTTCAAGGAAATCTCTTAGTTCAATCATTAGCTGACCACTAAGCTAATCAAGCAGACTTCAATGGCCACGCATGACAAAAAAATATAGACTTTTCAGAATTATTCCAGGAAAATCACCAAACAAACAAATGGCAACAACAACAACAAACACAGACAAGAAAACCTGAGGGGGGGGAATCTCATTTCCATTGTTGCCATATTATATTATTTGTAATATAATTTATTATTTAAGATTATATATTTTTTTAATTATATCACTTTAAATGTCCAACTTCAACAAAAATTTATGAGATATGCAAAGAAACAGGAAAGAATGGTTCACACATAGGGAAAAAAAGTAGTCAATAGAAACTATTTTTCTGAGTTATTCTTTTTGGTTACAAACAGTCTCTGAGTGAGTGCAGATATTGGACTTACTAGACCAAGATTGTAAACCAACTATTATAAATATGGTCGAAGAACTAAAATAAACCATGCCTAAAGAATTAAAAGAAAGCATGAGAACTATGTCTCCCCATATAGAGAATATCAGTAAAGAAATAGAAATCATTTTTTTTTTTTAAAAAGAACCAAATAGAAATTCTGGAGTTGAAAATGAAAAATTGGGGAGCTCAACAGAAGATCTGAACTAGCAGAAGAAAGAATTAATGAACTCGAAGACAGGCCAATTGAGATTATCCAGTCTAAGCAACAGAAAGAAAAAAGAATGGAGAAAAATGAACAGAGCCTCAGAGACCTGTGGTACAACACCAGGCTAGTAACATACATATAATAGGAGTTCCAGAAGGAGAGAGGAAAAGAAAGAGGAGAAAGAATATTTGAGTAGCTGAAAACTTCACACATTTGAGGAAAAACTGCATCATATTTGCGTATCCAAGAAGCTCAACAAACTCTAGGTAGTACAAACTCAAAGGGGTCCACATCTAGATCCATCGTGGTCAAACTGTCGAAAGACAAAGAGAGAATCTTGAAAGCAGCAAGAGAAATGATTCAGCACGTACAAAACTTACTGAACCATGATTTCCCAGAAGCCTGCTGCTGGACATAATCCAGGTAGAATGTGAGGTAACAATCATTTGTGGGTCATCAACAGTACCACCTTATTGATACTGTTGTCAAAGACGGAAGATGGAGGAGTCTTTCTAACCTTTCGGATTCTCTCTCCCCTCCTTCAAATCTCTTACTTGGGGCCCCATCCTGGCCCTCTGCACCCTGTGAGTCAGGACTGAGAGGGGACAAAGGGTTAACATTGCAAACAGTGTTAGGGGAGTCTGTGAAAACGACATCACTAGGGATCTGACTTGACAATGACTGCCTGCACTGAGGGCTACAGGACTTGCCCAGGTGGGAAACAGCTAAGCAGTAAGTAACTGTTGGCTTTAGATTGGATAGTATTGGTTCTAAGCATAGAGTTATATATAAAATTCCCTTAGCAATAAGGTCCTAGTCTTGAAGTATAACAATGAAGATTAGGCATGTTTCTTTGATTCATGTTTTTGTATCTATATAGATACACATTTCTAGTTTTATATTGTAGTTTGTATCTAAATCACATCCACATATTTGATATATCTCTTTCTCAAAAATAATTTAAGTGGTAATGAGAAAAACTCGGAGGTGAATTTTCTCTGACATTCTAACCCAGGAGACTGCCGTTCATTCTGCAGACATTTACTAAACATCTATTGTGTACCAGACGTTGTGCTAGATGCTGGACGTGGAGATGGGAGATGAAGTGCTCCTAGTGGGACAGAAGAGGCGTATGCTCAGTCTGAACTTGGTGGGGGAGTGTCAGGAGAGGCTGCCTAGAGGAGGTGACTCCTTATCTGAGTCTTGAAGGGTGAGCTAGGTGAAGTGGGTTTAGGCAAGGCTACCCAGGGAGAGAGAAGAGCATGGCGTGGAAGTGAGGGAAATTTGGTATGTTTGAGGAATTCCAGATGGCCAGAGTATAGGCATCAGGGGAGGTGGCTCAGAGATAAGGCTAAACTGGTTTGTAGAAGCAGATCATGATTGTCCTGGTATGCCACCCTAAGAAGATTTAAAATGACACAAAATAGTAATTATAGTAATTCTTATTTTCCATTTATTGAGCACTTGCTCTGTGCCAGGCACTGTGCTAGGTACTCAACATACCCAATTTATTCCTCTCAAGAGCCCTATGAGGTAGGTACTGCTTTATATGGATAAAGTATACTCTGTTGGGAAAAGGAGTCCACAGAGAGACAAGAAAGAACAGTCAGGGAGGTAGGAGGAGAACAGGATGGCCTGGTGTTGGAGAAGTCAAGAGGGAAGGAGTTTCAGAAAGAATTTGTGTCAAATGTTGCCAAGAGGTCAGTAGGATAAGGACCAAACAATTGGCAGTTCACTAGTGATCTTAACAGACACAGTTTTAGCAGATTTAGTGGGCAAAAGGCAGATTGCTGTAGGGCATGGGTGCAAACATAATGAAGAAATGGTGATAGTGATGGTTGACTGCTCTCTTAAGAAGACTATTTAAGGAGGAGAGGGCTAACAAATAGGCAGAGGGAGTTAGAGGATTCTGTTTTGGTTGGTTGGTTGGTTGGTTGGCTGGTTGGTTGGCTGGTTGGTTGGTTTTCAAGATGAGAGAGACTTGAGCATGTTCGTGTGCTGAGAGGCCAGAATGGGCAGAGAGAGAGATGTGGAAGGCTCATGAGAGAGGGATTGCAGATGAAACAAGGTCACTATGCAACTGTGAGGAGATAAGGGGAAGGACTGGCCTGGCTCAGGGAGCCCTGAGGAGGACATTTAAAATGGATGTGGATGCTGAGAGGGTGAGTTGAAGGCTGAGGAAGTTTCAGGTTTTGGGCCTCTGTTTTCTCCTCAGGTAGGAACCCAGATCCACTGAGAACAAGGGGAGTCCCTGAATACTTGACTTATAATACTTGTATTTCCATAACACGCTTATTCAACAAGTGTCATAAGCAGGTTTCTCCCACTGCTGCCCAAGTGGAGAGTTAGATTCAGGGGGGAAAATATGTGTGGTTAACTCTTAGTGCTCGCTGACCTAAAATTTGTAGTTTTTTCTATTCTCAAATGACTCCATGGACTGAGCCATCTACCCTGAATTGACTTCTCCGCTCGGCTTTTTGGTTCTCTTCTCCTCATCATGGATGCAGACAGGCTCTGTGTCTTTGTGGGGAGCAGCCCCAAAAGGAAGCCCACTAATAGCAACAACTGGTGCTAGACCTGCAGGCAGTGTGCGGCCCAAAGAGATCCTGGAAATAATGGCTTGGGATAAACCAGACAGTGTGAAATGTAGAATTGGGCGAGAGATGGCGTCTGTGGCCAAAAGGAAAAAGGGATTTATTAAACGGTTTCAGCGAGTTCTCTAGTTAGTGCAAACACTGCTCATGGAGTAAGAAATACAGCTTTAGTATAAGTGGGAAGATGGTCACTTTTGGTCTTGGGATATGTCCAGTGGACAGAACCTGCACAAACTTTTCCTTTGCAAATTGAGGACAGACAGGTCTCACACATGAAAAGGGACTTTTGTAAATCTTATTTTGCTTGTTGAAAAATAGAGTTATTGGGGCCAGCCCCGTGGCATAGTGGTTAAGCTTGGCGCGCTGTGCTTTGGTGGCCCAGGTTCACGGGGTCCAGTCCCAGGGCAGACCTACACCACTCATCAGCCATGCTGTGGTGACGACCCACATACAAAAAAAGTAGAGGAAGATTGGCAGGGAGTTCGATCAGGGAGAATCTTCTCCAGCAAAAAAAAAAAAAAAAAGAATTATTTTCTTTAGTGATAACATTCAGTGTTTTTTAATTTGCTTTTTAGTGTGAGCGTCTATATATTTACCTTCGGCAGTAGGGTTGTACGAGGAGAGAATGTTTTATTTAAAATTAGTGACCAAGTTGCTAAATGCATTGTTATCGATAGGTCCAGTGCTTGATACAAATGCACACACACGGGCCGGCTCCGTGGCTTAGCGGTTGAGTGCGCGCACTCTGATGCTGGCGGCCGGGGTTCGGATCCCGGGCGTGCCCCAAGGCACCACTTCTCCGTCCAACCCGAGGCCGAGTCCCACGTACAGCAACTAGAAGGATGTGAACCTATGACATACAACTATCTACTGGGGCTTTGGGGGGAAAAAATGAATAAATAAAATCTTTAAAAAAAAAAAAACAAATGCACACACACACACCCCTTCATAGTGAAAATATCAGCCTGATAGTGTTTACAATGTGCTTGACCACATAATGCACTTATAAACATGACCTTTGGCTTCCAGCGGAATATTGACTCACCTACTTAACTGTTTCAACAGGTTTTTAACTTATTTAAGCCTTGGTTTTCTCAGTTATAATATAGAATTAATCAAGATACCTATCTTAGTGTAGTTGAAAGGATTAAACGGATAACGCAGGTTAAATGCCCAGCAGAAAAGTGCTGAATAAATGTACAGGTAGCAATTGTTATTACTGATCTCATTGTTGGAAAATTGATTGTTTTTGACAGCTATCTTGCAACTCTAGTTGACCCTGAGTCTTTCCTCATGAAGAGTTACCTAATCCAATTCCACAAACGCTTGTTGAAGGCCTGCCATGTGTTCTCATGGCAGAAAGAAAGAAACGTGGGGACTTCAATAATGAGGCCCTTTCTCTCACCTCAAGATAGTAGCAGTTGCAAAAATAGTAGGAATAAGACAAATAACCATAATACAACATAGAATATGACAGTTTCAAATTTCAATGAAATTCAGTTCCATTCAACCAACAATTTTATCAATTACCTCCTATATGCACAGCAATTAGTCCACAACTAATTTCTATCAAGCACGACAAGTAACCAAGGGAGGGTAGAGACAATTAGCATCGAGGAGGTGGTGATGAACCTTGCCTGGAGGGTCTGAGTAGCTTTCAGAGGGGAAGGGATGAACAGGAATTCAAGCCCACAATGGGAGGAAAAGGTAATCTCAGTAGAGGACACAGCGTATGCCTTGGCGTAGAGACAGGAAACTGCAAGTGGTGTCCAGAGAACTGAATGTAGCTCATTATTACTGAAATTTAGCTTTGGAGTTGAGTGGAGACTGAAGGGGAAAGTAAAGGGAGAGACAAGCAGGAGTTGGGTTGCAGAGGGCCTCACTAAGGCGTTTGGATTTGATCTTTGGGCTATGAGGTCTTTGAAGGTTTGTGAGCAGGTGTGATGTGACGAGACAGTGTTTTAGAAACACCCCCGGGGCTACAATGTAGGGGCAGATGGGAGGGTAAGATCAATACCAGAGAGACCAGTTAGGCTGCTACAGGCATCTTAGCCTGAACTGGCTGTGGTCAAGGAGATGGAGCAGGGGGCATGGTTTCAAGAAATATTAAAGATCTTAAATGGGAGGGCTTGATGATTGATTAAAAGTCTGATGAGAGAGAGGAAGTAAAGGATGAGCCCCAGCTTTCTGGTTTGTGTGACTGGGTGGATGATGATGCCACCAGCTGCCCACAGCGTAGCCACCACCTCTTCACCATGCACACACTCTGTGTCCTTCCTTCTCCCCCACTTCTTGCTCCCAAGCCACACAGCGGAAAAAGGAGAAAGCCTGCAAATCTCCTGAAGAGCTCATGTTGCTCCACAGTCTGGTGGTTGGCAAGGCCCATTGAGTGAGGCCAGACCCTGGCAGCTGCTTCCAGAACACTCAGAATCAAAATCAATGCCCTTACCATGTGTGTGTACCCCTTGTCTTCCCTGCACTCTAACCACCTTCCCATATCCATCCCGTCTTCTCATCCCTTGAGCCACCATTGTAGTTACTGAAATTTTTGTGGTTAGTTCTGATATCTGATACCTCAGCTATACGGCAATGTTTGAAGACCTCTCTTTCTCTTTCTCTCTTGTCTTTTCCTTCCACTTTTCCTTCCTTCCTTTCTTCCTTCCTTCCTTCGTTCGTTCGTTCCTCCCTCCCTCCTTTCCTTCCTTCTTCGTTTTTTCTTCTTTCTTTCTTCCTTTCTCCCTAGCTTTTATGTTACTGTGAAATATAATGCATTTACTGGAGTACATAAAATATACGTGTATAGCTTAGCATATTTTTAGAATGAACACACATGTAACCACCACCCAAGTAAAGAAATAGAATCCTGCTAGCCCCTCAGAAGACCCTCTCATATCCTCACCTAATCACAACCACTAGTATCTCACCTCCCCATCACGTTCCCCACACAAGTAACCACTATCTTGACTTATGAGACTCACTTCTTTACTTCTCTTTTTTTGTGTTATCACCTAAGTATATTTTTCTAAACAATAGAGTTTAGTTTTGCCTGTTTGGGAAATTTATTCTTTGAAGTTCTTTGATCCTGCTTCTTTCTTTCAACGTTACGTTTATAAGATTCACCCACATTGTTGCACATCGCAATGCTATCTATTGCTTGAGTATACCACCATTTTTTAATTCCATTCTATTCTGATGGTCATTGGATCATTTGCAGAGGGATCATTTGCAGTGTTGAGCTCTTATGAACAGAGCTGCTTGACCATCCTTGTACATGTATCCTGGTCACAATTCATGAGTTGCCTCAGGGTACATATCTGGAAGCGGAGCTGCTGGGTTGTAAAGTGTCTTCACTATTGTTCAATATTACTCGATATTGTGTGAGAGTTCCTCTTTTCCACACCCTTGCCAACATTTGGCGTTGTCTGTCACCTTCTTATTTTAAACCTCTGTTCCCAAAATAGACTCTTCTACTACAACAGTCTCCCCTAGCTCAGTGGCTCTCACTCTCTGTTTCCCAGATGGCTTATAATAGAGGACAGTCACATGTGTGGGCACCCTGCTGTGAGCATGTCCATAAGAAAGTTATAAGCAATTCCCCAAGTGAGAATGCCAAAGTTTAAATGGAATCTGGTTGGGCCAGCTCCGTGGCTTAGCGGTTAAGTGCGTGCGCTCCGCTGCTGGCAGCCTGGGTTCGGATCCCAGGCGCGCACTGACGCACCGCTTCTCTGGCCACGCTGAGGCCGCGTCCCACATACAGCAACTAGAAGGATGTGCAACTATGACATACAACTATCTAGTGGGGCTTTGGGGGGAAAATAAATAAATAAATAAAATTTAAAAAAAAAATACTTTAAATGGAATCTGGTTGATTTAACAAAGTAAATCTTTTGGGGGCTGTGGTACTTTCTTATTTAAAAGCAAAACAGAATTGTTTGTGACACACCCCTTAAGTGATCGTGTCACACTCATGTGTTTTGATACCCTAGTTGAGATCCACTGTCCTTGTTGGCTGAGATTCTACGATTTAACAGCCTTGAGCTTGAATGTATTGACTGCCTCTTCAGCCCAAAACCACGACCACCCAGCATGTTTCTCTACCAAAGCTTGTTCTTCACACACACCACCAACGAGACAAAGAGAACAGTGGTTAAATTTTCCCAAATCCAATGGTACAGACCCAAGAGCTTGTCCTCTGGCGTATGATACTCATGAACATGTTCTTTCTGGTGTCCCCACAGGGTTTGACCAGCTGACCTGGACCTGGCCAAGGGCCCTGTGCTCCATCATGGCCACCCCACCATTCTGGCTGACTAGGAAGATGTTTTCCTTCAAGGTGAGCAAATGGATGGGGCTCATTTGCTTCCGGTCACCAGCCATCTTTTCGCCCAACATTCGCCAGAAGAAACTAATCCACAAGCTTCAGGAAGAAAAGGCTTTTAGGGAAGAGATGAAAATTTTCCGTGAGAAAATAGAAGACTTCAGGGAAGAGATGTGGAATTTCCAGGACAAAATCCATGCTTTCCGGAGCCAGATCTTGGGCTTTTGGGAAGAGGAGAGACCTTTCTGGGAAGAGGAGAAAACCTTCTGGAAAGAGGAAAAAGCCTTCTGGGAAATGGAAAAATCTTTCCGGGAAGAAGAGAAAACCTTTTGGAAAAAGTATCGCACTTTTTGGAAGGAGGATAAGGCCTTCTGGAAAGAGGACAATGCCTTATGGGAAAGAGACCGGAAACTTCTTCAGGAAGACAAGGCCCTGTGGGAGGAAGAAAAGGCCCTGTGGGTAGAGGAAAGAGCTCTTCTTGATGAGGAGAAGGGCCTGTGGGAGGACAAAAAGTCCCTCTGGGAGGAAGAGAATGCCCTCTGGGAGGAGGAGAAAGCATTCTGGGTAGAAGGTGGGGGCTATATTGCTGAGGAGCAGATACCTGAAGACAGGCACTACAACATCAATGGAGAGCCACGATCGCCAGCCTTCTTTCGAGGCAGGGCATGAGCCCAGGAGATGAAGGGCCATGGGGTCCAGACTCTGTTGGATTGGAATTCAAGTCCAGGGTGACCTCATGTTCTGGAGAAAATATGCACTTATTTGTCTCTTTGCTTCAAAAGATCTAATAAAGTCCTGAGGAGAGGTTTGGAAAGCCTCTTCTTCAAGGAAGGCTAGATACATTTTTCCCAGGCTTTGTGATTCTCCAAGGTCATATTCCCATCCTCCAGGCTGTATTTCTATCTGTAGATCTTGGTCTCAGGCAGTTCACCATAAGCCCAGCATGTTTAGGTGTTTTTGAATAGAGACTGCGGCTCTCCTTAAAAGAGTCAGAACGGGGTAGAAGAGAGGCTCAGACAATGCCAGCTAGAGACACATCAGGATAGAGAAGTGCTGAGACCTCTCTGCCTCTGTCACACTGTGGGGCAATCATTTCTGCTCCACTCTAGGCAGTCTTGGAGGCCTAGAGTGGGCTGACACTTTCTGCAGTGAAAAGGCTACCATGCTGTTAACAATTCTTCCTGACCTGGTAGGCCATTTAGAACACACAGGCAGAATCCCCTAATGGTCCACTTGCCTGTAGTTCCGGTTTCTAGGAAACTTCTCAAGTGCCCATTCTCTGTAGCAAGAGAAAGGGGCATGGCATTAGGCTGAAGCTCCAGAGCTCGGCCCACAAAAACACTGCCTTTCCCTGGTGATGGAGTCAAAGTGGACCATGTAGGACGATCTGTGAGGTGTAAGGGAGTCTTCCCTGCCCCGTATATTCCCATTCACACAGCTCTCACTGTGCCCACGTTTCTGCATTATCAATTCCTTCCTTTGAGTTTCCTTCCTTCCATTCATTTAAAATTAAAATGCCCCAGGGAGGTAATACATCAAATGAATGTACACTAATGTGGTCAGCAACTTACATGCCCAACTTTTATTCTGGGATTAGATAGCCTATACGGGCATTGGTATGGAAATGACCAGAAGGTGGGTAGTAAGAAATGTCAAGGCAAACATCTCCTGCTTTCCCTTTTCTTAGACCTTGCCCTCATTGTTATTAAGCACCAACTTACCTTGCCTTTGTGCATCCCTTACTACTCAACAAGCATTTGCCAACTCATGTAACCTTCACCACCACTCTACGAGTTGAAAGGGAAGGTACATAAACCCATTGTACAGATGAGGAAACAGAGACCTAGAGAAACCAAGTGACTGCATATGGTCAGGCAAGCAGCAAATGGAAGGGCCAGGCCTAGGACACACATCATCTGCCTCTTGGCCCATTCCTTTTCTAGTACAACCCTGGGTCATGGAATGTGTCTTCAGAGTAGCTCAGCCAACAATGGCATCAGGTTGCATGAGCCTTAAAGCACTTTGGGATTTCACTGTGGCTTGGGGTGGTAGTAGAGAGGTGGGGAGAGGAGAGGACAGAGTCCTAGGAGTGCTGAGCAAGCATGCCCGGTCACGGGAGGGTGGGCTGACTCCAGGAGCAGCCAGGCCTCTGTGGCTCCATATCACTCTGGGAAAGTCTGGATTCCCTGCAAGGCCTCTGATTCTCAGGAGTCAGGGCCAGAGCAGTGGGAGCAACTTTCTCCTTTGTCACACACCCACACTTGCATCCTCAGCTCCCAACTGACCCCTGGGCAAAAACTTGAGCAAGCCATGGGAACAAGATGCTGGTGTGGAGAATCAGATTTCAGGGGCAGGCAGCTGGGGGCCCTCACTCAAGAAGACCTGTCCAGTGGATGGTGTGCAGGACAGTGGGAACCCAATGCGGCAAGAGCCGCAGATACAGCAGTTCCCAGTGATTCCGCCCAAAACAAAAGCAAATGGAAGACTGTTGATCTTAAGACTAAAGAAATGAAAACCAGATGGAAACAGGAACTGGACACATGCAGTGAGTAGAAAGACCCCCCTTAACAGGGTTCCATAGAAACTACAGGGAGAGACCATTGTCATCTGAAGGAGGACTGGAGAGGCTGTCCAGAGAGGACAGGAGGGTCCTTCTGTGATTCCATCCTTCACCAATCAAACAGCTGTGAACTTTTGCCATCCCAGGCTCTGTTCTCTTCGGTCTAGGTGGGGAGGTGGGGAGACACGCAGGTAAACAGGCCAGTGCATCCCAAGGCAATGAGGGCTGTGAGAGACAGCTCCATGGAGTGTCCCTTTGATGACTTTTAACCGACTCTGGAAGTGATGGGTGAGTGCATGGGATCTGGAAAGATATTCTGGAGGAGGTGATGTCTGGGTGAAGCCTATCAGTCCAGTGGGAATTAGCTAAGAGAGGGGGGCTGAGAGGTAGGAGGGCATTCTAGGCAGAGGGAATAGCATCGGCACATGAAAGAACGCAGCAATTTGAGGAACTGCAAACACTTCAGTGAACATGGGAGAAATGCAGAACAATGAACTGGACAAGAAGGCAGGTAACTGATGACATAAGGCCTGTGGGCAGTAGGGAGCCATTGAAGAATTTTAAGGAAGGAATGACATATTTAGATTTAAATTTTAGAAATGACATCTGGCTACTCAAAGTGTGGTCCATGGACCAGCAGCATTGGTGTCACCTGGGAGCTTGTTGGAAAACCAGAATCTCAGATCCTGACCTATCGAATCAGGCTCTGCATTTTAATAAAGTCCCTGGGTGATTTGTACAGGCTTTAAAGTTGCAGGCACACTCCTGTAGAGGAGCTAGTGGAGGAGGCTGGAGTGGAGAAGGCGAGATCATTTGGCAGATGGTGGCAGTAATCCAGGTAAGAGGTGCTGGTGCCCTGTCCCTGGCGGCAGTGGGGTCTAGGTGAAGAGGAGCCGGCAGCTTGGAGAGCTACTGGGAGGCAGATCAGAGTCCACTGGCTGGGGGATGGATTGGATTTGGGTGATGCGGGAGAGGCCAGTGCCAAGAGGGATGCATAGTTTCCCGACTAGGACAATGAGGGGATGGTCGTGCCCAACACTAAGAGGAGGCTGAAGAGGAGCAGGATGAGTGGAACTTTCAGGGTGGGTGGAGACAAAGAGTGTAGTCTGGGACATGCAAGATGGCAGGTTCCCTTTATCTGCTGCGTAGGGCAAGTTCTCCAAGCCTGGTCAGCACTTGGGTTGAACTCAACTTTCTCCTTGTTCACCCACCAAACAATGTGCAGTGAGCATTCCTTTGTTACATAAATCATTCATTCATCAGTTAATTCATCATCCATTTATTCATTCAACCACCACTCTACCTTGCCAGCACTGTACTATGTCCGGGAATGTGTTGATTCCTGCCCACATGAAGCTTGCAGTCTAGTGCGGGAGACAGATAATCAAATAATCACGATGTTATTATTTGTAAACTTCAGCAAATGCTAGAAGGAGGAGGGGACATGGGGCCACCTCTCTGAGAGCATCCCAGCAGAGCACCCTACTTGAATGTGTTTTAAACACAGAGCAAGATCTGTAGAGAGATGAAATAAAACCAAGTTTCAGGTGAAAGAAAATTAACCTAAGGATAAGTTTGTTCTGTACAACTAACAACTGGGCCCTCAGGTAGGTTCACAGATGAAGGAAAGGATTCAGATAATGCACATGAAAGCATCTTCTAACTTCTGGGATGCTATTACTACTGTTATCACAAACGGAGATAGATTTCTCCCAGACCTCAGCAGCAGCCAAATCTGGTGTCCTCTTTGAGACAGCACCCATGACAGCATCACTGAACTCCTGAGAGATGTCCTGGGTGGTCAGACATCTAAGGAAGCAGCTCAGCTCCCCTGCTTTGATCTCTTGGCAGGGAGCAGTGTCATCTGTGCTGTCTCAGGGTCCTGCTCATTCAGCTGGGTCCCAGATTCATAATCATCTTTATTCTAGAATCATAATGCAGACACTGGAAGATCCAGGAGTGCCAGGAACAGCATCTATTGCAGTAACTTACCACACCATAAAATTCACCCTGAGGAATTGTCATCTTCTCCCCAGAGCCTGAGCCTACCCAGAAGCTCTTCTGTGAATCTGCCAGAAGGGGAAGAATAGCATTTTTGAAACACAGGGTGCTCTCCAGGGAAATGTGATCTGCTCATGGAGCTGTCACTGATACCTTCAGGCTGTGGGCCACACGCATCAGACTCACCTGAGGTGCTTGTCAAAAATGCGATTCCTGGGCTCCACCCCGGACTCACTGGATCTCAGTCTCTGAGGGCCAGGCCTCAAAACTTGTCTTTTTAACACGTTTTCCAGATGATTCTTATGTAAGCTAAGTTCTGGAAAATACTTGTGTACAGTAGAAAAAGCACTGGGATAGAAATCAAAGGCCCCAATTCTATTTCCGGTTCTGCCACTGAGGGCTAAGAGCTTGAGGACACAGGCTGGCCTTCTGTTTCCTCAGCTACAGAAGAACTGGACTTGTTGACTGAAGAAGTCCTTGACTGAAGAGTGCTAGAAACTTGGTTTGAAGCCTGGGCTTCCTCCTGAGAAGTTAGGATGGGGAAGAGCCATCCAGAGATCTTGCGCCCTTCCTCTGCAGCCCAGGCACAGATCACCTGTACGACGGGCGTGTGGCCCTGGCCAGAGCACACAGCCTGTTTGCTGGACATGAGTGAAAAGATAGACCATGCATCAAAGAGGTGGCATCTGGGGTGACCCAGCAAAGTCCTTGCTAACTTCAGTGCCATCTCCACATGGGCCTGAATCTCCTCTCAACAACCTGGACCCACCTCTAGGGCACAAAGTTACAGTAAACATAATGTAAGAGACACAAACTTCCAGTAAGAAAAAATGTCTGCCCAGTAAAAATTTACCATGGATCACAGATCAGTGACACACTGAGAAAACCTGCTCTAGTTAACCCAGAATTTGCTAGAACCTTCTCAGCATATCTGTAAGTTCCCTGAGAGCTAGTGAGTGCCCAGGCATGCTGAACAGCATATTTTGTTCTCCAAAGGGCCATCCAGTGTTGTGTACCTCACTCTCATCTTTGGGACTTGTAGCATAGTTTATCATTTAATTCAGAAGCAGAAGAACAAAAGATCATGCATAAATTACTATTAATAGTCACAAAAGCAGCATGACCTGGTGGAAAGGACTTAGCTTAGGGATCAAGCAGTCCCAGGAGCCAATGCTACCTCCATTACTTCCTAGAGTATGATTGTATGAGTTTCCTAGGGCTGTCCTAACAAATTATCACACACTTGG